TTGTAGTATTGGCTCGCCGACAATAACAAATCCTGAATACACAGTAGTAAGGACGCAAACCCAGCAATGACCACAGAACATCCGGGGGGAGGGGGGTATTTTGGGGCAATGACGTTAGAGAGTCGGAAGCAGCTAATAGATGGCGACAGTATCAGTAAAAAAACCTTGTTATCATTTTGTGCAAGGGAGTGGGCAATCTATAGTTGTCTTCATCTATGTTGATGATTAATTCTACCAATATCACCAATAGTGTGTGTGATAGGCGTGATTGTGAAATACCCTTAAATAAAACGCACTTGTATTCGTTCATTTTTTCAAGAGCTTCCGGAAGTTCCTTTGTTTTTAGTGTGGTTCTAAATTGTCCGAATCAGTCCTAGTGCAGTGTCGTAGTTGCCCGAATTTTCACGTGATTTGCATGCTGCTGTGCAACAACAACAAAGCCCCCCAGGACATTTGCATGCCCTCATACGATTCGGTACCCCGTTATGCAGTTGTGCCATCTCCGCTACTGCTCCGTGACTTGGAAGAGCGTCAGGACCACAAAGCGCTAAGCCAGGATTTCGTCGCGACCTTTACCCATGCCGTTCAGGGCTTAGAATCATGTCAGCCAGCAGCCTTTCAAGAATGCTACCCATCAAGGTGAGAGCTCGACAAGACAGCTTTTAAGGGGGTGAAAAAGACTAACAATGTTGCTTTCTAGTCTTTTGCAGCACTGCCAGAAGATCGGCGAAGGCCTGTATGGGGAAGTGTTTCTGTACCGAAACCCAACGGGGGGCACCACTGTAATGAAGGTGATCCCCATGGGCGGCACTCTGCCGGTTAATGGCGAAGCACAGAAGCAACTTCACGAGGTTTTGCCTGAAGTTTTGATCGCAACGAAACTGAGCAACTTGCGTTATCAGCGAGCCAATCAAACGCATGCTTTTATCGAAGTGAAGAGCGTGAGATGCGTGCGGGGCCTCTATCCGGAGAAGCTCCTCGACCTGTGGAACGACTACAAAGAGACCAAGGGGTCGGAAAACGATTCCCCAGAAATTTTTGACGAGCGACAGCGCTTTATGGTTTTGGAAACCAGCTATGGCGGCTGCGATATGGAAGCGTTTGGCTTTGCCGATGCTGCCCAGAGCTACTCAATGTTCCTGCAGGTCTGCAGTCTTCCATTCCACCGGGTAGGCTTATAATGTTTTGGAGTGATCTTTAGATTGTTCTGGCGCTTGCCATTGCCGAAGAGGAGCTGGAGTTTGAGCACCGCGACCTCCACTGGGGCAACATCCTTTTGGCCCGCGTCCCTGAAGATGAGAAGGTGAATTTTACCTACAAAGGGCACGAGATCTCATTGGAGTCGCATGGAGTGAAGGTGTCTATCATCGACTTTACCATGTCGCGAATTAGCCTGAATCAAGTGGCAGTTTACACGGACTTGGCGAATGACTGCGGCGTGTTCAACGGATCTGGCGACTACCAGTATGAGATTTACAAGCAGATGCAGAAGAAGAACCAGTATGTGTAGACATAGAGCAGGTGAAGCTGAATGGGGATTAATTGTGTGATTTGCAGGAACGAATGGAGCCACTTTGACGCCTTCTCCAACATCCTGTGGCTCAGCTACATGCTGGATAAGACAATAACCGCGCTGCGCTATTCGAACGCCCACAGCAAGCAGCACAAGAAATACATGAGCAAGCTGAAGGTGCTGAACCTGGAGATTCTGGGCTTTGATAGCGTTAACGACTTCGCCCTTAATCTCCCCCAAACCAGCTCGCAATAGTGACGTTTGTTATTCGAATATATAGAGTGTTTATATATATTTTTACATAGCGTTAAGCCCTAAAGTTGATACGAGCACAATATTTTTCCACGAATAAACCAGTTTTAATAACAATGATTATAGTGCTTCAATTGAAACTAGACTTTATTGGGGCCAACGCTAAGGAAGGGGACACTTTCTCAGGTTCTGTCCATGGGTTCTTTGGGCTCCGGGTAACACTTCGCCACCTTCTTGATGTGTTGGCACGTGGTGACTGTGCCCACTTTCTTCAAGCAGGCAATCACCGCCTCCGAGTCCTCCAGATGGTCGGGAAGATCGTTCTGAAAACCCATCCAGGGTGTCATCCGGCCACTAGATTATTAAACTGCTTGTGGCACCTTGATGGTTTCAATGTTCAAGGCGCCGGCGTCGCTCAAAGCGCCATTTTTCTGACCCAAACACCTGATGAAGCACAGCTCCTTCTCAGTCAGTTCGCCGTTTTTCTTGGTCTCGCGGTCCTCCGATGTTAGGCCCACCTCAGTGCGGCATTCGTTGGCGCTCTCTGGATCGGGATGGCCCAAAAAGGGCGGTGGCCCGGGCGGACCTCTGGGCGGATGTCCCATCACCTAGACATTAATAAAAGCGGCTCTTTGAACAAAGGCCTTCCTCTCTCAAAGAGCTAAAAATAAGTCTTCCAACTATTCCAGTTATTCTGTGAGAATCATCTGAAGATTGACCCATTAGACGAGTTTGGATAGATGGAAAATATCGCGTGTAGTTGAGGTTTGAAAAATTCCTAAAGGACATGAAAATAGGAGATGGACTTGGTTGTCTCCTGCCTCTATAGATAAAGTCCTCCTCTATTAAAGGAGGCGAAAATAAATCGTCCGACTGATTTAGTTGTTCTGTGAGAAGCGTCTGAAGATTGACCCATTAGACAAGTTTGAATAGATGGAAAATATCGCGTGTAGTTGAGGTTTGAAAAATTTCTAAAGGACATCAAAAGAGGAGATGGACTTGGTTGTCTTCTGCCTCTAGAAATAAAGTCCTCCTCCATTAAAGGAGCCGAAAATAAATCTTCCAACCGGTCTAGTTGTTCTGTGAGAAGCATCTCAACATTGACCGATTAGACAAGTTTGAATAGATGGAAAATGTCGGGTATAGTTGAGGTTTGAAAAATTCCTAAAGGACATCAAAAGAGGAGATGGACTTGGTTGTCTTCTGCCTCTAGAAATAAAGTCCTCCTCCATTAAAGAAGTCGAAAATAAATCTTCCAACCGGTATAGTTGTTCTGTGAGAAGCATCTGTAGATTGACCGATTAGACAAGTTTGAATAGATGGAAAATGTCGGGTATAGCTGAGGTTTGAAAAATTCCTAAAGAACACCAAAATAGGAGATGGACTTGGTTGTCTTCTGCCTCTATAAATAAAATCCTCCTCTATCAAAGGAGCCGAAAAGAAATCTTCCAACCGGTCTAGTTGTTCTGTGAGAAACATCTGAAGATTGACCCATTAGACAAGTTTGAATAGATGGAAAATGTCGGGTATAGTGACGTTTGAAAAATTCCTAAAGGACACCAAAATCGGAGATGGACTTTCTGGGAACACATAATTTGAGTCAAAATTCCTACTGTTTTCAAAGTGTTGTTTAGATTTTAATGAAAAATAATTAAAAGTTGCCTCAAGGTAAGCGACCTGACCACGCCCTACTCTGCCAGAGACAGTTCTTACCTCTTTTGTTGCCTGAAATGGACAATAAACCCCATAAACCTGCTTCTAGAGCCCAATATTCCACTGGCTAAGAATTGCTTTCTTTCAAAAAATTGCGCTGTATTTACACTATAACTGAGGAGCAGAAAGTAAAAATTTTTCATTTATTTATAATCAGACTCGACATTTTTGCGTAAAAACAGAACTTCAGTCCAAATTCCTATTGCTTCCAGGCTACATTTTATATAACAACAAAAAACGCTGAATTTCCACAAAAAGTGTGTTTTACTATGATTACTATTTACTTTATTAGAGAGTCAATTGAATTATGGCTTCTGGTACTTACCTGCTGGTTAACCACCGCCATCAGCACACACAAAAGAAACGCGGTCATCATGGATGTGACTCAGTTGGAAAGGGGACCCCATTTATACCCATTTGGGATAATGCGAGAAAATTATCCGTTTCCGATCTATCAATACAATCGCTCAAGGCTAGACGGCTTCAAGGGTTCCTAATGGGTACCTACCTTACGTGGGACCTACTGCAGGCATACATGCATTTCTACTAAGAAATGCGGAAAATTCATCGCTAGCCAGATTCCAACCCCTAAAGTCGCGTACACGCTCGCTTCAGCCACCCTGTACACCTTAAACGGTCAATTATCGAGTTGTTAACAATCGAAAGTAACGCACGTGCCGATAATGAGCGAATTATTTTAATTACGCCGCCGCGGACGAACGATCGGGAAAATTGGTGTTTTTTGTTGCGCCAACGACGATCCATGCTTTGAGGCTGCCATTCTCAGTCGTTTGCGCCTAAACAATCTCCCAAACTCAGTTGATTAGAGAAAAATTAACCAAACACCTGGAAAGCTTAGAACGCAGCACTTCAATTTGATATTGTGGGCCTTGTTTAAGGATATATCAAATATCCTACTTGGCATCCCACACATCCACGTTCTCCATTCTACGTTGTGCATTAGGGATGGTCGGTATTTAACGTAACCGCTAAAATAACAGTGTTCCAAACGTGTAACTTGAACCGTAGTTACAGCTACCCTATTTAACCGGTTTTTCGGAACCGACTCATAAAACCGAAACAGTTGTGCGCACTTCGTAACAGCTGCAGCAGTTTGCCGATTTAAAGGTTGTTTTTGGAACCATCCCATAAACCTGAACAAGTGGTTTGCGTCAGCACAGAACCGATGTTGCATCGCCAAGCGCTCTATCCAGTTGCAGCAGTTTCAGTAACCATTTGTCAACGGAAAACATGTTGTATGTAGTTGCGCGTTGCCTTGATGATTGTGTATCACTTTTCGTTTATAAGATCTACTGTTCAGTTCTCCAGGAACCAGCAAAAATTTGTTTAGTTGCGATAATATAATTCAGCATTTTTAGTCGATAAATATGTAGTTTTCTGATATTTCGTAATAAATCTTAAAAATAGGCTCAAACTAAGCAGAATGTGCACTTGCATATGAGCTATGAGCAAATTTAGAATCTAAGAGATAAATTCCATTACAGTTCAAATGTAAAATAACAACCGTTTTTAGCAGAATGTGCACCTGCATTTAAGCAAGATGGCCATTTTTAAATATAAATTCAATCAGAGATGAAATGAAAGTTATTTGAATAGTAATAAACGTTGTAAGATTGACATATTTTTTTAAATTATTTTTTGGTGGTACCAAAATTATCTTATTATTATTATAATAGTATAATAGTGAGAGATTATTTTCTAGAGCGGGTGCTATCATAAACGCGCGAAGAAATAGAATCAGTAAAAAGCACCTGCAAAAAATTTTGTTCTTAAATGTTAATTCATTTTTAAATGAAAATGAGATTTTTAAACATTTTCGCATATAAACCGTATATTTTATTTAATCGCTCTGGTTTATTATCAGTTTTTTGTTATTTAAGTAGTTATTTCTGACCCATGTTTTGTTTTTGATTTTAGAATATTTTATTTTTAGTTTACCAAAGTCAACAATTATGTTTTTAATAAAGGAAATCATTTATATAATGATCATCACTATTTCTACTATCATCATCATTCTGCATTTTTAATGACAAATTTAAAAAGTAACATGTTCCTTTTGGAACCGCAGTTTGAAACCTATTATCAAGGTGAAACTGGAACGTTGTAACCTGTCACAGAAAAATAACAGTTTATAACACCTCTATTGAGCATCCAATCAAACAAACAGCTCTCATCGAAACAGACGTTTATTTAAAGAAATTACTGCGTTCACGATTTGCGGCTTCAACGAGTCTGTTGAGCCCTCAAATCCTCGGGGAAACCGGGAACCCTAGAGGGCGCGTCCCCAGGCGGCGGATAGGGAATGCCTATCAGATATGAGTGGTAGGATGAAAATCAAATACATCCCGCGGACCAATAGGTATGCAGCATCTGACCCAGAATGGGCAGCTGCAAACAGCGTCTGTTCTCCATGATAGGAGCGGCTGATACAAAATCAGAAAAGACAACGGGAAACCACTCTGATATTCCTTTCCCAAGAAAAAATCACAACGGCAGTACAACAAAATATATTGGCCCCTAGTCCCCGGCAGGACTTAAGATTCCAGGGGGTGCGAAGAATCCCGGGTTGAATACACTGAATACATTGAAAACATAATTTAAGATTGCGACAAAGAACGTGAGAACGCTATTTGAAACGGGAAAACTTGCAACAAAGCCTGCCACCAAATGGACAGCTTGGATTCGATTGTTGGAATGATACTGGATGAGGAATTTAATCGGGCAGTTGTAAATTTTCTATCAGTCTCTGATAGTGTAGGTTGAACTATGACTGAGATTCGAAGAAGATAAAAATTTGTATGAAGCGATTGGAAGATGAAAAACATGCCAAGTTGAATGTTCAGTTAAAAGCAACTGAGCGGAACGAAGAATTCACTATTGCAACCTACACAAAATCAAAATATCAGAAGATCACATCATCATTTATTACAAATAAACTAAGCTTCCTGAAGACTTTAAACGAAAAATTGCACATTTTCAAACATTTTTCCGTCTCTCAAGCTTCTCTTTGAATACTTCGTGCGTGAAGCCAAAGGGAGCGCAGCATTGAAGATAATTAGAAGAAAATCGTGTGGTTTTAACTATGATGGACATACGAAGAAGATACAAATTTCCATGAAGCGATTGGAAAATGAAAAACCTCCCAAGTTTGAATGGTTAGTTGAAAGCAACTGAGCGGAACGAAAAATTCACTATTGCAACCTACACAAAATCAAAATATCAGAAGATTTTGACTGAGTTTCAGCTTGTTGAGTCACAAATAAACTAAGCTTACTAAAGACTTTAACGAAAAATTGCACATTTTGAAACATTTTTCCTTATCGGAAGCTTTACTTTGAATATTTCGTGCTTGAAGCCAAGGAAAGTGCAGCATTGAAGATAATTAGAAGAAAATCGTGTAGGTTTAGCTTTGACTGAGATACGAAGAGGACAAACATTTTTATGAATCGATTGGAAGATGAAAAACCTGAAAAAAAAACTGAATGTTTTATTGAAAGTAACTGAGCGGAGCGAAGAATTCACTACTGATGCCTACTTTAAATCAAAATATTAGAAGGTTTAGACTCAGTTTCAGCTTGTTGAGTCACAAACAAACTAAGCTTCCTGAAGACTTTAAAGAAAAATTGCTCATTTTTCCGTCTCTTAAGCTTCTCTTTGAATATTTCGTACGTGAAGCCAAAGGGAGCGCACCATTGAAGAAAATTAAAATAAAAACAATAAAGTTAAATAAATATCATTTAATTTGATTAACATAAAAATACATCATTTTTTAATATAAATAAGTTATTGGGATATTAGTCACTTGCGCCATAAGTTTGAAAGCTAAATGGGTTTTCGAAAATTACCACAACTGCAAAAAATCATAAAATTAAGGTTTCCACCTTGGAACATTGGTAAAGACATTTTTCCTTTCTTAAAAGTGTCATTACAACTGTAAATAATACGAAAATTAATTATACATCTAATAATATACATAATTTATCCCTGATAAATCCATACAGCGGACTTACCTTCTATAAGCGTGCAAAGCTCAGTTGGTCTAAATTTGTATTTATGTTTGTTTATTGTCGAGGTTCTTATAGCAGTAAATTGATTATCTAGGTCTTTTGTGATAATTTTTTTTAGCATCCTCACGATGGACTTGCTTATACTGCAGTCTTTATCTGCACAAGATTTTAATGCACAATGCTGTAAAAAAATAAAATATTGTATATGGGTAGGTAGGTATGTACCTATATATTTTTTATAGTAAAAACATTATTAAAAATTTACAAACATTTTTCCGGGTGAGAAGTCAAGTGATTTATCGCGTGATAAATCACGTGATTTTTCTTGCCGTAGATATACGTACCACATCCTTTTTAAAAATATGATCTCTAGTCAACCTTTGCTCAAAAGCTAGAAATTGTTGATACGTAACCAAAGGTATTGTTACTTGATATTTTTCCTCTAAATTAGTCGCACCCCATGCAACTAACTTCTTATCTGCCAAAAAGTTGGTTGTATCAACTTGTTCGGCTTTTAAATAAGTCCCGTGTTGCTTTATTGTAGCCAAATCTTCACATATTTTGTCGAGTCTCATCACCACAGCTACTTCAAACGCTGGAATGAAAGTTACTTTTTACATACCTATATTGAATAAATAGTCAATAAAATATTCAAGTAGGTTATAATATACAGGGTGATTCACGGTTGATGGCGTATTAGTGCATACAACTTTGATATTTTAAATGAGACACGCATGACGATTCCTATATCGATCTAAACCCATTTCCGAAATATTAAATAACATTCATTATTCTTAATCAAAAATGGCAGGAAATATGGCAGAAATTTTCCAGAACTAAAACATTTGAATAATAACATAACCAAAGCCATCCAAAATGACTTCAGGGCATTTAACACAACATGGCTGGAAAGACCATTGAAGAAAACTGAAGCTGAAGGAAAATGTTATCTGGGGAAAAAAAAGAGATTTGTAAACTGCAAAACAGAGAAGGAAGATAACAACCAACAAACCAGATGTTTTGAGAATAATCGAAGAATTCTGTACAGGGTGATTAAAAATTGGCGTCATTCCTCTGGAGGTGTTGTCTGGCGCTGTTATAGGAGTACAAGAAAAATAGTAAAATAAATTAGTTGTTATTAAAAACTGAGAAATTTGCAAAAAACTATATCAGAAATACGGCAGCATTGTTTTTCAAGGTAATCTGCCTAATTAACATTGCGCAAATACCTGTTACTTCGTAATTATTTAAAACTCCGGTAACCATGGAATTATACAGACTGACAATAAGATAGACAAGGATAAACGGTAAATTCAACAAGATTTGTTGACGAAATGTCAACCTGTTCTCAAAACCTCAAATATTGGTGTTTAAAAATAAACCATACAACA